GCAACTGTGAACATTTCCACCCCACACAACAATAACAACAACCAATCTGCCCTTTCATTTTCAAACCACATATCGCAAGATCACATTCAGTCAATCATATTCATCATATAACCTGACCACCGCGGCGTTTCTCCCAGCCTTTTCTGACAAATTGCTTAGATCATGAGAATTAACCGTGCATTACGCCACTAGCAGGAAATTTCAGGTTTCAGCTTTCAGTGATCTATCGATTCCCTGCTCTCGCTCCAAAATTTGTACACACTCATCCTTTTTGCAATGTCGTTTGTACGCTATGGCACAAGTTTGTTCAATATCTCCGAGCTACGTTCATTCTCCCTCATAATATTACACTGGTGTAGTAGTTCGATACGTTGTATACAGTCATCCCTTAAAAATTCTGTACTTTTGAGTGGTCATGTGACTGGTATCCTTGTGTTCTTTCTGCGTGTATTGTATTTGATTATTTTTGAGATTATTTCATCCGGTATTACATGTAACCTGTTAAATAACTATCCCGTTTCACCGTATGTTCGCATCAGTCAACACACTCACTCGCATTGGGTTATACGTCGCGAAGAGGTCGCTGATCGATGCATATTTTATTCTAAACATATATGACATATTTGTAACTATTTGTATTCGTTTATCACCATAAACCTTGCACCAATCCAGACCAGTTTGTACAGATAGAATAGTGCACATGAAAACAACAACAGGGATCAAAACAAATATGGACTCAAAGCTACTGTCACTCAGCTCAGTTTTACGACGTGGATTAGATAAGAAAAGGAATTTTGTTTATTTTCATTCAACTGAGGTGCAACATTGAGTTGCCACAAATTCACAAATGTGATTTCTGTACGCTTCCATCTTCAGACACAGATTTTACAGATTTTATTATTCTGCTTCAAAGATGACGGGGCTATCTGAAATTGATTCCACGATCAGATGTGTATTTTGTAACCAACTCAAGTAGAGCTCGCTGAAACAACGAATGTTCACTTTAGTTTTCCGTTGTGGTCTTCGTTCTCCGTTGAGTCAAAAAGCTAACAACCGATATGCACTCGGAGTATACAAATTGGAGTGAACTTGAAAATAAACTGAACATCCATCTGTACAGCTTCATTATGATATCATTTATGGCAATTGCTGGCAGACAAATTTGCCTACGAGATTCCTATTGATGGAAAACGCTTTGCTATGACCAGTCATGTAATTGGTGCATCAAATTTAGTGAACAAATTAGACTGGTATCATCGACCCAATAATGGGCAATATTTTGTTGCATTTCGGAGAAGTAATTCTTTCCTTTAATTTCAGTTTCAGTTTTACTGAAAATGCATGGATACAGTTTTCCGGTGGCTGGGAGGCGGAGAGGTTAATCAAGAGCCGTTTTATAACTAACACACAATCAGGGATGTCAGTCGGTTGTGTTTCTGTGATTCGAACGCATGTCTGACCAACAGTGCATGCGATGATTTCGTAGAACGAACATATTCAATGGATATCGTGATGTTTTCTCATAAACTCTCTCTCTATCTGTTTCTCTCCTTGCCTAAAGCTATTACCAACAAATNTAAACTGTCCCGCCAACTGATATTACCAGATATACTACGTCGATCTCGGAGCCCATCGCTAATCCGCATTCATTTGGTGTTTCGTTGGAGGCCGTGGAGCTAAGCTTGTCCGTCGTTCCTTTGGCAAACTTTCAGTTAGACATGATTCTCAAATCAATTTGCAACATTACTGTCTGCGTCCGAATGCGTTTTATCCGATGTTGAATCATTTTACGTCCTTCGTATACGCATATTTTCCTCTGAAAAAAACAAATATCACATTTGTGAAGATTTGGCGGCGTGAGTCAGAACAACGTTTCTCATTTTATTCCGTATACGACGAATAACATAAAAATAAAATGGAGTTTTAGTGGTTCATGTCCATGTCAGTACATCCCAATATATATCACTAACTGGGAAAATAGAAAAGAATCATAGATAAATATAAACGATTCCATCATGAGACCGGAACTCGGATTTCGTGCGATCACACATTTGTTTATCTACTCATCCGATCATCCGGATTACTTGTGATACGAGGTGTGTTTGGTGGTGGTCTTAGGCTTGGGCCAGGGTAAGAAAGATCTGCAGTGAGGACACGCTCGAAAAAGATCTCTTTACTTTAAAATCGAGTAACCTGGAGCGTTTAATCAACAAGTTGACCCACTGTACGAAGAAATCTGTACAAAACACCTAGGTTAAAATATATCCTCATACCTTTCATTCAAATGGGCCACATCAGCTGAGATGATATAACTGACTCAATCGATAAGACCTTCTGTGCATCCACGCTTCGTGTGTTGTTCACGTCCATACCAATTGTTTGTTTGCGACTGAGGGACAAAGTTCCGTAATATGCGGTCAAATTCTGTGTATTGTTTCTGTAGAACAACGTGGATGATTATCGAGACAAGTTCACTAACGGATGCTGGATGCTGGATACATCAGAAGTGGTGGGCATTCGCCTGCACACCTCCAACCTATGTGCTGAAAAACAATTTTTGGAAGCAATAAAGCTTCACTGACCCACATACACGCACACACACATACATACACATCATATTACGAGTAACCTCGATGATCAGATGAGTGGACAAACAAATATGTGAGTGCGGTGAGTCCCATTTCCGGTCTAATCATCAAATCATGTTTAATAATCTGTATTGTATTTCCAATTGTATTCTCAAGTAGTAATATATGTTTAGATGTATTGGCATGAATACGGACATCCGAAAATTAGTTTGTGTTTATTTGAAAGGGATTTTCATTAACCATAGACGATCGCATTTCGTTCTCATTCTCTTGACTGAATGACTAAATGAATATCTATCGTTTACATTGAGCATCTTGTATCCGAGTCTTGTATTTGGTGGTTCGTATTAGACCAGTGCGCCCGAGAAATGGTGACACAACAGCTCGGATTTTCATTGGTCATTTCCCCTCTCCGGTTATCACACAAGCGGACACTGGATGTTTGGTCCAATCGTATGCATGGATCAAGGTTAACCAATCAACTGACGATTGGCACGAAGTTCTTCACGCGTAGGTGAAGTTGAAGCAGTTAGTGTCCATCCATTATCATCCATTACGGTTGCACGACAGGGGAATAAGCGAGAGAGAGAAAGAGTGTGATACCATAAAGGATGCCGATCGTGGTTAGCTGATCATCGTCAGTAACATTCGAACAAACATCATGTTTTTGACTCCCAGTTTGCTCAACCTGACTGTGTTTACTTCCAACGGAACCAATCTTCCTCTGGGGAAAAATGTTTCGTATGCATATCTCTACAAAGCCCTAAAGGACTATTTTCTACAGTGGTATTTACCTCTGGTAATCACTTTGGGATTTTTTGGTTCTGTATTCTGTATGGTGTTCCTCACTCGATCACAAATGTTCCCGAAAAATATGCGCATCTGGTTGATCAGTATATGTATCGGAGACTTCCTTATTCTCGCCATGGAAGGAATATGGATGCTGTTGAAAGTGTGGTACAGCTTTGACATTCGAGATGTGAACGACACGTTGTGTATTTTACATACAGCTTTCTCCAATTACCTGTTCTACTGGTCCGCTTATGTTCAATGTTTTGTCAGTATGCAAAGATGTTATCTGGTCTTGAAACCCCTACACGTGAACGCACAGTTTCTGTCGGCCCGGAATCTTTTGATATGTTTGTTCCTGACAAGTGTACTGCTCATTGTTCCAATACTGCCGTATGCAATCTATTGGCGTGTGATCGATGGCGACTGTGATCCGGTGAATGATGACATATTTCGTCTGACGACAGTATGTGACTTGGTGTTTTGGGGTCTGATACCGGTGGTTCTTATGGCCACATCCACCGTGATCATATGGCGTAATTTGCTTCAGAGACGTCAGATGTTCGATTCGCTGGGGAATTTCAAACCGGGCGCCCGAATTAATGGATTGGATCTAACCGGCACGAACAATGGCGGATTGCCTAAAAAAGTTTCACGTCCCAAACGACATTCGGTTGCTGTATGTCGAATGCAAATTCATGATGATGTCAAGAATCGATCGAAATCGGTAGCAAAAATTCTTGTCAGTACACCCAACACCAGTCCATCAAGACGTGTTTCACAGTTTGCTTTACCCTCCATGAAAATTGCCTGTGGACAAGGAAATTCAAAACGTCGTGGCACAGATGGAAATAATCACGTGACCCTGCTTCTGATCTGCATGAATTTTGTGTACATGACCAGTGTATATCCGCTCATTATTTACTTCATCTGTTTGAATTTTATCTTTCATAGTTTAGACAAAGATATTCATCGATTCATTTACTATTTATTTAGAAGCTTTTGTTTCCTCAACGCCTGCAGCAACTGGATTTTCTATTGTGTTGCCGGTGGAACATTTCGTCGAAGAATCAAACATCTGTTCCGACTGATCTGTTGTCGTCCCTGTATTCGTGGAAGACGTTTACGCGGGACCGTGGATCCGTTACCCACCGCAATGGCTGCATCCTCACAGTGGTCCAGCAATATGAAACGGTACAGCTGTACAGTGTATGAAAAAATGAGTTTGCCCACAACCCAGTCCAATGTGACACGTTCCAGTTCGACCGGGATTCAGTGGCAACTGATCCGAGCAGATGTTGAGCAGGCCCAAACGTGATGAAAGTGGATGACGAATACGTGCCGGATTTGAGCACACTACAAACAGGGTAACAAATACGGATTACTTATATTGAACGTTCTACTACTCACAACAAGACAAAGGAGCTATTTTAGAACGATAATATTGTCCAAATTGGTGGATGCACTAAATGTCACCCTTTGTGCTTAGGCATTCCTTCTGTATGGTCTATTTAACAGCTACATCATTCCATTACACTTGTGTGTGTGTGCTGGTGTATATATAGATGCACAAAAACACACCATGGTGTTGTCAGTCGTCCACGTCTAGCTCCATTTCATCTATTGTATGAATTAAAAAACAGCCCACGATAAGACATTATGCCTCCCTGGCCACCTATCTTTCAGTGCGATTACGCATGCTGAACCCACACATATATCATCATCATCATCATCATCTCACTACGCAGCGTCAACCGTAGACTGATGTCGTGGTGGTGAGCCGATGAAAAGAAAAGGAACACAAAGTAACTTACACGACAACAGCAACAATAACGTTCATTACATGCATATCATCCCACCCCGAACTCCCTCCTCACTCCGCCACCCTCCGTCGAGCGCCTCAATCATCTTTCTGGTTGTACAGTATGATGCAACTGCATTGTAATTAACTATTTCGAAAGATTGCAGTTCACCTATAAAAATCAATCAAAAGGAGAAAAAACAAACAAACCAATCCCTCATTTCATATTGATGTTCGGCCTCTGCATTATTGAAATCATGATGATATACGGGATGAAAAACTGAATCGTTTTTTCAAGGTCAGATGTACCGGACAGACAATTACCGTATAGTGGAATGACTAATAGAAAGCAATTTAATACAGATGTTTGATGTGTCAGAAACGCTAATTACACTATTGAGCATCAGATTGTATTTGGTACACTGGGTGAAACGGTCCGAAATATCACCAGATTTTCTGTGTTTGCTGATATGGTTTATGCATGTGATTTCCATTTCAGTGTTCTACTGATAGTGATTGAAACCCGCTATTCCAGTCAGTATAGAAACCTGTCCATAACTGAACGATGAATACCATCTGCCATCGATCTGGTGGTGGTGGTGGTTGATTCTGAATTTGTATAAGAAAACAGCAGCCTGCGGTGGTACTGTGGTCTCACTCACTGCATTGAGAAACAGAGCTTAGCGGTCGCGTTAGTTTCACGGAGACGCCGGTAAACACATAGTTGTATTCTGATAATATTCAGACCAACTCCCTTTTGTATTAAAAATTTCTGCTGCAGGGTTCCAAAACGGACATTAATTTCTTCACGGTGGTTCCTTACAGAAATGTCCAGACTTCATAGGGACAGCGGTAACATTTCTTGTTTTTCTTGTTTTATTTTTTCAGGTCATAGCTACTCTCAAAAAATGGGGTTGCATCCTTGATTGCCTCCATGGTGACTTTGGGTGAAGCGTGTATTATAGATGTTATCGATTTAGTATGATACAAAGCTGAATGTTTATTCTTTAATGTCGACGACCAGATAAACTGAAAAGGTATAGTGCTTTTTTGTAACCAAATACAGATCTGTATGCTATTCCATACAGAACTTCACAACTGGCGCCTCTTTTTGTTTAATTGGACACCAAAAATGGTAATGAAATTATTGAAAATCTGGAAAAAAGGAACTAATCCTTATGATTTTATCATCTCCATTTTTTCGCATTTTCACTTTTTCTCTTATGGAGTTCAAGTTGAAAACTTGAATGTCAATGTTCCGGTGCACATCTTGGACAGTAAACGTGATTTGGAATAACTAAGTCTGATTCAATGGGACTTTGCTTTTAGCAAAACCATACAGGTTGTGGTAACAATAAGCGCGTTTTCTCAACCGCTTGGAAAATCACTTGGAATTGTAGATTTGTCACTGAACTTCGAGACGAAACGTTCAATAAGGTAAGTGAGACTTTGTATAAAATCTGAGAAACTGATTTAAAGTTTCCGGGTAAAAACCGAATCAAACTTACGTGATAATCGGATTTTTTCCAGCCGGACAAATAAACTGGTCATTTACAACAATCTTTGGAAGAATGGAGTAAAACGATTGCCGTAAATTCTGGAAAATCTCATTAATTTCCCGAAACTCAAAGAATTGGTTCATCGATTCCGTTTGGCCGTGCAAATTCCGGTTCTAGGGGACTGAGCATGGGCATTGCTTTAAATGTACTGGAGAAAAGTACCAGCATCTTTTTAAAATTAGATATTTAAGGATACGTGCTTGCAAGACCAGCTAATCAGCTATTTTTGGCGAGTCAAATCCATTTCTTGTAGTACAAATCTCAAATCGCAAGTAAGCATATCTATACATATACAGGTGTTGCTCAAACTCGTGCAACATTACACTCATTTTGGAAATAAATTTCAGTTTCCAGTTTGTCTTATTGTGTGTTGATGACTATGGGTAAAGTGTATTTATTCCTGATTTTATCTCACACTTCTATGTTCTTAGTTCTCTTCTATCACCGTTTTACGCGAACGTGAGTGTCGCGATAAAATTCGTATTAGTTCGAAAGTTACAGCTCAAATTTCGAAAATATCTAATGCAAAGCAGTAAGGGTAAAAGATTACAGGCATTGGGGCTTCACTCGTCTGAATATCGTCAAATCAGAGGTGGTATAATCTGACAAATTCTGTTTGACAGTCAACTTGGTGGAATCCACAATAAAGCGAATGCCTCCAGTGCCCAACAATGAAAAAGAGCAAATGGAACATGGACGAGATGAAAGTGTAACACCTGTATGAAGTCTATGGGTTATTTTAATAAATAAATTCTAGTTACGTTTTGCACTGTTACTTTGTTATTCTGTTACAGTAGCCACTGTCAAAATCGCAAAATCGCACATTTGAACAGCATGTGGCTAATAGAAGGAGAGACATAAATAGGCATTATATCACACATGTTGCGTCTGATGTGGGTCAATATCATATTCAATCCTCCGTGAATGAGTCTGGAAAAACGAAGCGCTGAGAGAAACAAATGTGGTGAAAATCAGAATGTTGCACGGGTTTGATCAATATCTATATATACATACCCTTATAATTACTTTTACAGTTTCTAAGGCCTACCCACATAGAATGAAAAATATGCTCTCTGAAAATGTGTATATACTTTGGAAACACTAAGCAAGAATTGCTAAATCGATAAATAATTTTAGGGAGGCCTATAAGCACTAATCTTTTTCGTAGCAAAGATGAATGAAAGCGTAGAAAAGTGCAGTATTCAAATAGTTCACTTTCCTCTTCATGCTTAATTTGTATATGCCATGCTGTAGAAACTGTTCAAACAATAACCTTTATAAGGAGTAAGGTAAAGACATATCCAGGAATATACTCAATCATTGTAAACAGAAAGATAAAGAATGAGAATGACAAACAGCAAATTTATCGATCGGGTTGGTTTGCACAACTTATTGGTGAGCTGAAAATTATGAAAGTATCCCATTCCTTGAACAGACCAAATCATCTATTATCATTTGATGAGCCATAAAGCTATTGGGTCAAACTGAATAGTCATTGAGAAAAGCCTGATGAGAAGACAATTTGCCAAACAAACTCGTTGTTGGTGTTTCTTTGACACAGTACGTTCTTTGTAGGTCAGAATGTATGCGTGTTTGTCCTTGTGTGGGTGTGAACCTGTGAATGCGTGAAGGGAATCTACAGTGAAATGGCTGGAGGTTTCACTATCCGACTATAAGAGCATGACCACGAAAACCCAGTATTCTCACAACTGAAGTTATGAAATGCGTGCTTTGAAGCCGGATTGAAATCACATCAGCTGTTCACTGAATAATGGAATAATGTTCTTCGTTTACTCGCTTAGTGAGTTCTGAAGCACACTGACTTTGTCATTAGACTCCATTAAATTGGTTGGTAGTTTTTCGTACGCTGGTTCTCGTGCATATCTCATTTAACTGACCTTCGGTGATATTCTTTGTTGCATATGGATAGTTTGACGTACACAGCTCCTGCTCCATGAAAGTAGATTAATTGATGAATATACAAAATAAAGTGACATCGTACGACCATCTGTCTTTATCTTTACATAAGAAGAAAAGGAGCTCACACGTGACTATAGAATGTGCGGTTTGGCAGATGGTGATGTCATAAATCAAAAGTCAACAGTTGACCGAAACGATTAAATTAGAGACCAAAATCCCACTCTTGCTATAATAATAATTCGCCGAAGGTGCTGAACAAATCGATGCTTTGTGATGAACTTGCTTGTGGTCATCGGGATTTTCTGTTGTATTCGACAAAATATCGGGTGTTGTTGTTGTTGTTGTAAAATGTCAAACACGTGGCAACGGGCAGGACAAACTGATGGTAAAATGGATCAATTACAACCCCTCAGAATTTATTGCTGATTTGTGTAGTACTCAGGGCTTTCATGTCATAAAAAAATAGTCATTAATTCAAGGAGCTACTTGAGACATCGATCAGTTTAAAGTACAAGGAAACGCACGCTTACAGTACAAGAAAACCGGTACTGTTCATTCAGTTGACAACCATGAAACTCTCACTCTTGTTTCGTGGAGATGGTTGGTGATCTGTCGGTCGTGGTCAACAACACATCTTCCTGGTTATCGGGGGGTTCGAACAACACCGCGACCATATCACCAGGCAGCTCATTTATGAATCCATTTCCAATGCTGATTATCAATTGTACCACGATTGACTCAGTCAGTCGGTCAATCAATCTATCCATTTTTTTGGTTAGACAAATAAGTATAGGATGCTCAATTGCTTCGTGAGTATCTCCCAACAGCTACATCACATCACAACACGATTTTCAAGAACATATTAATCGTTGAGTATTATATTATTCATTATGATTGACCAAATGGGAACAAGAATTGAAAGCAAACGAAACGTCATCCTTAATTTCTACAAATAATTTTCGGGATCGATAATTGAACAGGTCCCGATAAAACACTAAAAGTAAACGCCAGCAAAGTGGCTTGTTTCCAATGTTTACG